TCTAGACATTGCACTAATGATTTTGTAGGCATATCATATTTAATTCTCAAAAGAAGGGCTGGGTGCTCTCATCTCTTGAAGATGATGCAATGAAGCTTAGCATCTCAATAGTGACCCAGTTACTAGGTGACAGGGCCAGGACTCAGACGCCAGTCTTTCTGACAGCACCTCTCATGAACAGCCATAGTCATCAAGCTCATATTGAAGGATAAACTTTAGCCTGGATTTATCAGGCCACGAAATGAAATCATGCAATCTTCTTTTGTTTTGTTTTGTTTTATTTTATTGAGACAAAGTCCTACTCCGTCACCCAGGCTGGAGTGCAGTGGCGTGATCTTGGCTCACTGCAACCTCCACCTCCCAGGTTCAAGCAATTCTCGTGCCTCAGCCTCCCGAATAGCTAGGATTACAGGCGTGTGCCACCATGCCCAGCTAATATTTGCATTTTTAGTAGAGATGGGGTTTCACCATGTTGGCCAGGCTGGTCTCAAACTCCTGACCTCAGGTGATCCATCTACCTTGGCCTCCCAAAGTGCTGGGATTACAGGCATAAGCCACCGCACCTGGCCTAAATCTCTTAACATTCCTCCCTGTATCCTTAATCCCTCTTGCCATCTACATACACATTGTTTGCATTTTGGAAACTGGCTCACCCTAATAAAGAATAGCCGAGGCGGGCGGATCACAAGGTCAGGAGATCAAGACCATGGTGAAACCCCGTCTCTACTAAAAAATAGAAAAAAATTAGCCGGGCGCAGTGGCGGGCGCCTGTAGTCCCAGCTACTGGGGAGGCTGAGGTAGGAGAATGGCGTGAACCCGGGAGGCGGAGCTTGCAGTGAGCCGAGATTGCGCCACTGCACTCCAGCCTGGGCGACAGAGCGAGACTCCGTCTCAAAAAAAAAAAAAAAAAAAAAGAATAGCAAGAGTTTTTACTTTTTTAAAACAGCAGACAAAAAGGGAAATAAGTGACCACAATGTTCATAAACAAATTAGGTTCTCCAAACCTCAACAGTAACCCTTTTACTCAGCAAATTAATAAGAATTCTCAATATTTTGGGAAGGAACTGAGAAACATGCTTAAGAACAAAATGAGCAGGGTGATTGCACATGAGGAAACTGACTTTAGAACAGAACTGATCATCATCCTGAGAAAAAAGGAAATACACATTCTGCAAGGGTTGCTCATGACTCTTACTCCCAGATCCATCGATCCTGCTGGTTTCTCCACCTCTGAGTCCCCTTTTTCTTTTGGGGAGATCCTCAACTCTCTCTTGACGACCCAGACCTTGGAGAGTAGGAATTTTTAGAAATTCTAGTTCAATACTCTGGAACCCAGGATTTCTATTCTTGGTGTAATCTCAGGATAACCTCACGTTCTAGGTCAGACAGTTCAAGTCCTGGCAATTGTAGGTCTTCATCCCAAACTTATGTGTCAGTTTGAGAAACTGAGTCCCTCCCCTGTTCACTGTGTCTAAATCCCCGTGCTGGGAAACTCTAGTCAGAGACCTTGTCTTTTTCTTGACAGACATTCCTGCTCTGGCTTCTGGACCCCAGCCCTGGGATTTGGCTCCTGCTTCCTTCTGCTAGACTTTCATCCTGTCTGCCCACTCTGAAGGCCGTTTCATCATCAGCTAAGCCATGACCACTACATGAATCCTCATTAGAGTGAGGATACGTTCTAACACTTGGTAGAAAAGTTGACCATGTTTAGGAAAAATGAAGATTCCTAGACTCCATCCTTAAACCCTAACCCTAACCCTAGGTTCCATCATTATTTTGATTTAGTGGGCCTAGGGCCTGGGAACCTGCATTTGTAATGAGTCTCCAGTGACTCTCATTCAGCCAGTTTACCGACCGGTGTTTCAGAAACTTTCTCCAAAACTTTCTCCTGATTTAAGAAGTGTGGGCGGTGCTTTGGCGATAAAGTGTGTTGGAATGCTCCATTTTGGTAATTTATCAGGGTCTTAGGATTCCAAACACGGGAAGACGTGGCTCAATGGCAGGTGGCCTTGTGGGAGGGGCAGGGTAGTAGGCAACGCTTCGTGTCCAGATCTCTGGGGGCCTGAGAAACTGTCTGAGAGAACGGCCTCTGAGCCACGCTGCCTGAGTTCTCATTCTGACTTGGCCACTTCCTGGCTGGGGAGTCTCTCTGCACACATACCACATTTATAAAGAAGAAGCAAGGTCAGTGCTTGCCGTTCTTCTTATTTTTCCTATATCAGGAACAGACAAGGAGGGGCGAGGACCAGAAGCAGGCAGGGCATGCTCCTCATCTCTCTTCCTTCTGACCAAACAGACCTGTCTCACCTCAGGGCTTTCCACTTCCCGTTCTTATTCCTGGAGGGCTTGTACTGCAGGTAATTCTCGCTCCCTCACTGCGCTCACATCTTTTGTCAAATGTCACTTCCTAGAGGGCCTCTCTGTGAACACCCCATCCAAAGGAGCCCTGGCCCCAGCCCTACTTCATATTGCTCCTTGTTACTACCTGACATTACATTACATAGTTTTTGTTCTTTACCATTTTCCTCATGTTGAATGTAAACTCCATGAGGACAGGAATTATTGTATTTTTTTTCATTGCCCCACCACTGTTCCAGGTGACGGGAATGCGGCAGTAAAAAAAATAATAATAATAATCCTTGTCATTCAACAATAGTTGTCATTCAACAAAATTTTTTATTTATTTATTTATTTATTTATTTATTTATTTATTTATTTTTTTTTTTGAGACAGAGTCTCTCTCTGTCGCCCAGGCTGAGTGCACTGGGGGGATCTCGGCTCACTGTAACCTCCACCTCCCGGATTCAAGCGATTCTCCTGCCTCAGTCTCCCAAGTAGCTGGGACTATAAGCATGCACCACCACGCCCAGCTACTTTTTGTATATTCAGTAGAGACAGGGTTTCACCATGTTGGCCAGAATCCTTGGTAGGTGGATCGCCTGAATCCGGGAGTTTGAGACCAGCCTGGGTAATATAGTAAAGCCCTGTCTTAACTAAAACTACAAAAATTAACTGGTATGGTGGTGCGCACCTCTAGTCCCAGATACTTGAGAGGCTAAGGCAGGAGGATTGCTCTTAAGCCTGGGAGGCTGAGGCTTCAGTGGGCTAGAATCCTTGGCCTCAAGTGATCCGTCCACCTCAGCCTCCCACAGTGCTGGGATTACAGGTGTGAGCCACCGCGCCCGGCCGGCATTCAACAAATATTAAATGAATACATGAATGAATGAGTGAATGGATCCAGTCTTCTCCCTGCCTTCAGTGCCTTCACAGTCATTATTCTGGGGCTTTTCTGTCTAGGGCAGGTTTCTTGACAGCAGCACTGTTGACATGGGGGGCCAGAGAAGTCTTTGGCATGGGGGTTTTCTTGTGCACTGCAAGGTATTTAGCAACATACCTGGCCTACTAGATGTCAGTAGTCCCTGCTCCATGCCCCAAACTATGACAATCAAAAATGTCTTTAGAATTGGCCAAACAACCCTTGGAGGCAAAATGCCTGGTTGAGAACCACTGGGGGAGTATCAGGCTGACTGAGCTAGTATAATGGTTTTTATTATTAATATTATCCATAAATAGTTAAAAGTGGATGCTTAGGAATTAAAAAAAAGAAAAGGTTAGGACATCTGAATGAAAGCCACTGAATATCCTGAGTCCTTGATAAAGCCAAGAATTTCAACCAATTATTATTTGATGATTACAATAAGTGATTGTAATTGTTCAGGGAGTCAAAATTACTAAATATGATTGATTTGGACTGGTTACTGTATTTGACTAAACAGAAACACAGACAAAAACTTACCATAGTCCTCAATCCAGAGTTCTGGAGGCATACAGAAAGGCTCTAACACATCACATGTGTGGTTGTAATAACTCGTCTCCTGATCAGACTGATCTGAGATTCTAATTTTAAAAAATGTAAATCGGCCAGGAGTGGTGGCTCATGCCTACAATCCCAATGCTTTGGGATGCCAAGGTAGGTGTATCTCCTGAGTCCAGGAGTTTGAGACCAGCTTGGGTAATATAGTAAAGCCCTGTCTTAACTAAAAATACAAAAATTAGCTGGTGTGGTGGTGCGCACCTCTAGTCCCAGATACTTGAGAGGCTAAGGCAGGAGGATTGCTTAAGACTGGGAGGCTGAGGCTTCAGTGGGCTATGATTGCACTACTGCAGTCCAGCCTGGGTGACAGAGTGAGACTCTGTCTCAAAAAAACATAAACCATATCTAACATTTGATAATACATATTGCCTTTTGACAATATACACCTTAAGTTTCATGACCCAGTAATTAAAACAATTTTTTTTTGTTATTTTCTATACATTTTCTAGGACATCTTGCAAGTTTCTAATTTCTAAAAACTTATTATGTTGGAATGAGCCCAATAAATAAAGAACTGAAAACTTTTTTTAGTCTTATCAATAAAATTATAAATTAATTTGTTTAAAATGTGGAACTTTCATTTTCAGAAGTGAAGAAATCCCCAGACAGATTTACCTTAAAGTTTTAGGTTAAAGGCCGGGCGCGGTGGCTCACGCCTGTAATCCCAGCACTTTGGGAGGCCGAGGCGGGCGGATCACAAGGTCAGGAGATCGAGATCATGGTGAAACCCCGTCTCTACTAAAAATAGAAAAAATTAGCCGGGCGCAGTGGCGGGCGCCTGTAGTCCCAGCTACTCGGGAGGCTGAGGCAGGAGAATGGCGTGAACCCGGGAGGCGGAGCTTGCAGTGAGCCGAGATTGCACCACTGCACTCCAGCCTGGGCGACAGGGCGAGACTCCGTCTCAAAAAAAAAAAAAAAAAAAAAAAAAAAGTTTTAGGTTAAGATAGGAGGCTTTGGGGAAAATGCCCCAAATTGATAGAAATGTTTCCCTCATTCCTATTTTGGTTGAACAATTTCTTATTGTTACACCTGTGGCTAACTATATAACATTTAACATTTTCTTCCTTGAAAAAATGATTAACTCAAATTGCTTATCAATCTAAATAAATGACTTCTTATAACATACCTTTAAAACAAAGCAGTAGTCAGTGGGCGCTTTATATTTCATTTTATGCTGAGTCCCATAGTAAATGTTGACATTTTCAAACTGTATAAAACATGCCAGATCTCGAGATGTCTGAAAGACAGGAAAAAAAATAAAACTTCAACTGAGATGACAGTTAACAATTTTCCAGAGTTGTCCTTCACGGCATAACTAAGGATTACATTTTAGTAAAGAAAATATTGACTTTTAGGTAATTTATATAAACATCTGCCACGTATGGTTCTTCTCAAAGGCAAGTCTGAAAGGTTGGAATGGAAACAGATATGGCCAAATTGGGGGACAATTTAGTAAGATCTATGCATAAATCTTTCCCAGTATGAAAGATATTGAATGTTCCCAACACAAAGAAAGGAAAAATGTTTAAGATGATGGATGTGCTAATTACCTTGATCTGATTACCATACATCATATGTATCAAAACATCACTGTGTACATTGTGCATATGTACAATTATTATTTGTCAGTCAAAAAATAAAATTAATTTTTAAAAAAGAGTACAGCCAAGGAAAATCGGTGCCACTGACCCAGAAATGGAGTGAAAGATTATACTGCTGTTCTAATGCCTATCTGGGGACTCCCAGAGTCAGGATGGACTGTCCTTGAGATGTCATTATCGATGCAGTCGAGACAAGGTGACCGCTTAGCCAGAAATTTCATTTTGACTTTTGCCATTCTAAGTCCGTGATGGATTTTGCGATTGAGCATTTAAAAAAAAAAGTCCCCCTCAGGACGAACAATGAGAGATAAACTTATGCTCAGTAAATTAGCACACACTTCATGCACTTCCTCCTGAGAAAAAGGATTTCTTTCACAAGTTCTCTTTACTGCAGGCAGTGTTGCCATGGAAACAGAGACCTCTCCTCCACGGATAACAGGCACTGTGAAGGCTGCAGCCTGTAATCTACATATTTGGTTACACTTCAATTACAAATGTGTTGCATTATTTTTTTCTTTTGCCTTCTATAATTCTTTACCTAGTTAGTGAACAGATGAATAGATGGCAGAACTATTTACACCTTAGTGAACAATTATTTATTTACATATGCTTGTACATTCTTTTCTTGCAAGATTTTTTCTTCTGGATGTTCAAAGTTTACATTTTTAAGTTACAAACTAAGGCATATTAGTCACAATTTAAAAAAATATATATATTTAAATAATAAAATGCATATCTTCCTTCACCACCCCTTTTTCTTATTTTGTTCTTTTCTCCAAATGTACCACAGTTAATAGTTTGGTAGTATTCTATTCTGTTCTATTTCCCCACGTTGCCCAGGCTGGTCTTGAATTCCTGAGCTCAAGCGATCCACCTTCCTGGGCCTTCCAAAGTGTTTGGGATTAGAGCTGTGAGCCACTGTCCCCTGCCTTCTTTTTCTTAACATTGTATCTAGGAGTCTTTCTATATCAAGACACATGAATTAATAGATGACATTCATTTTATGACTGCAGAGAATTCTACTGTACAGGGGTAACGATTTATTTAACTATTCTACTACAGAGGATTAGAAGTTATTTCAATATTTAGCTATTACAACAAATACTGTGCATATGCGCTTATATTTCTGTGAGATAGATTTGTCAAGCATGGAGTTGCCAATTGAAAGGATTTTTCCTCCCTTTTACATTTACATAGATTTTGCTAAATTGTCCACCAGTTTGGCCGTATGAGTTTCCATTCCAACCTCCTAAGTGTGAGTGCCCCTTTTTCTTACCCACTACCACCAAAATTTGGATATTATCTATATTGTTTATTGTATCAATCTCATGTTTAATTTACATTTCCTGATTACTAGTGAGATGGAGCAACTTTTAGTTATGCAGTGGCTACCAGTACTCCTTTTTCTGTAAATTTTCCCTTTAATGCTTTGCCATTTTTCTGTAAGTATGTTTATCTTTTTCTTATTGATTTGTTGAAGTCTTTATATTTTATGGATATTCATACTTGTTTATACATGTTGCAAATGTACTCTCTCACTGTAGTCAGTCTTTCACTTCTTGTTTGTTATCTTTGGCCATAAGGTATTAAAAATAACTTTATAAGGTCAAATCTGTCCATTTTTTCCGTTATAATTTTGAGTTTCTATTCTTGCTTAGGAAAGTTTTCTCCAGTTCAAAATTATAAAAACATTAACCTATATTTTCTTTCTTTCCCTCTCTCCCTCCCTTCCTCCCTGCCCTCCCTCCCTCCTTCCCTCCCTTCTTTCCTTCCTTCCTTCCTTCCTTCCTTCCTTCCTTCCTTCCTTCCTTCCTTCCTTCCTTCCTTCCTTCCTTCCTTCTCTCTCTCTCTCTCTCTCTCTTTTTTTTTTCAGGGTCTCGTTCTGTCACTTAAGCTGGAGTGCAGTGGCACAAACACGGCTCACTGAAGTCTTGACCTCCCGGGCTCAAGCGATCCTCCCCGATCAGCCTCCCAAGTAGTGGGGACTACAGGCATGTGCCACCATCCTCGTTAATTTTTTAATCTTTTTTTGTAGAGACAGGGTCTCCCTATGTTTCTCAGGCTGGTCTTGAACTCTTGGGCTCAAGCTATTCTCCCTGGGCCTCCCAGAGTGCTGGGATTATAGGCATGAGCCACCACAGCCAGCCAACCTCTATTTTCTTCTAGAATTTTATACCATGTTTCTCTAAAGATATTTTAACCAATCAATAATTTAGTTTGGTACATGGAATGAGGTAGGAAATTATATTTCTAAATGGATATACAGTTATTTCAATGCTATTTGTTGAATACCACATTCTTTCCCCACTGCTGTGATATAAAATTCTAACTTTAACTTCTCTTATGTTAGATGGCTGTCTGTCGACCTGTTTGTCTCTAGCCGTGCTGTTTTTATCTAATGTTTTGGCATGGCAGGAGATCTACCTTGATGTTCTTCACAATTTTGGGAAGGTCTATTTTGGAAGAGTGTCTTTTTTCCATGAACTTTAGAATCAATCTGTGAATTTCAAGTAAATAAAATCCTACTGATATTTTTATTAAAATTACCTTAAATTTATAGAAAACTGGGAAGAATTAATAACTTTTCATTTAGCAACATGGTACCTTTCTTTTCTTTTTCTTCTACTTTTTTTCTTTTTCTTTTTCTCTTTCTTTCTTTTTTTTTTTTTTTTTGAGATGGAATCTCACTCTGTCGCCCAGGCTGGAGTGCAGTGGCGTGATCTTGGCTCACGGCAATCTCTGCTTCCCGGGTTCAAGCAATTCTTCTGCCTCAGCCTCCCAAGTAGCTGGGATTATAGGCGCCCGCCACCATGCCTCGCTAATTTTTGCATTTTTAGTAGAGATGGTGTTTCACCATATTGGCCAGGTTGGTCTCAAACTCCTGACCTCCGGCCTGCCTCAGCCTCCCAAAGTGCTGGGATTACAGACGTGAGCCACCGCGCCTGGCCTGCAACATGGTACCTTTCTATTGATTCAGTTCTACTTCATTCCTCTTAATAAATTTTATATTTTATGCCATATAGATCTGGAACATTTCTTGTTAAGTTTCTTGTTAGGAATTTTGCATTTTCTGTTTCTAGTCTGCATGGATTCTTTTGCATTGTAGTTTGCATTATATATATTGTTTGTGTAAAGAAAACTTTATTAGTTAATGCATTTATTTGGTTCTAACAGTTTTTCAGCTGAGTATCTCATATTGCTGGTAGACGATCATCTCAACTGTGAAAAATCAGTCTTTGCCTCTTCTTTTCTACTGGTTATACTTATTATTCTTCTCTTTAATGTACTAGTTAGTTCCTCAACCCAGTGTTAATGGTAACAGTGAGAGAAGGTATTCTTGTCCAACTCTACTGTAAACACTTTTTTTTTTTTTTTTGGAGACATAGTCTTGCTCTTTCACCCAGGCTGGAGTGCAGTGGAGTAATCTCAGGCCACTGCAACCTCCACCTTCCAAGTTCAAGTGATTCTCATGCCTCAGTCTCCCCAGTAGGTGGGATTACAAGTGTGCACCACCACATCCAGCTAATTTTTGCATTTTCAGTAGAGATGGGGTTTCACAATGTTGGCCAGGCTGGTCTAGAACTCCTGGCTTCAAGTGATTCACCTTGCCTCAGCCTTCCAAAGTGCTGGGACTACAGGCATGAACCACCACACCTGGCCAAATGTAAACACTTTTAATTCTCATCACAGAGTATATTGTTTGTTATACGTTTATTTATATGTACCATTTATATTCAAATGCCTAAGACATAAACATTTCAAAAAGAAAACAAATTATTCATGGGTCAGTTGTGAGGTGCCCAGTGTGGGACTGGAATGAGATGGCAGAGATGGGAAAGCATCAGATCTAAGGCCGGGAGCAGAGTGGAAGAGGCTAAGGAGAACAGTAGCTGTCCTGGACCAAGAGTTAGCCATAATGCCCCTCCTGCCTTCCGGCAGAGACAAGAGTCTCCTTACTGGAGGTAGCAGACCTGGATGTTCACATAACTTCATCGGCTTGGAAGTGTGGGTTAAGCTTTATCAGAGGAAGTTGGCAATGCATGAATATACCACTGGTGGTGCCCTGCATTTGGAAGGGAAGGCAAAATGCTTCTGCGTACCCAAGATACAGATTAGACATATATTAATGGTGAACAAAAGAGTGAAATATCCTAATCCTCTAAGAAAGATCTTAGAGAGAGTTGATGGTCAGAATAAGAGTTAAAATTACATTTCAAGGAATAATTTATTACATATAAATTTGAGGCAATAATCCCAAATCACCAAGTAAAAGTTAAATGATGTCTAAAATATCCTGCTAAATTAAGCAGGGAAATTCAGAGTACACCTCAGAGAACAATTTAAAAATATTCAGAGTCTAAGGGCTAAAATCTCAAGGAAAATCTAGTCGAGAGCTGGGTGCAGTGACTCATGCCTGTAATCCCAGCACTTGGGAAGGCTGAGTGAGGTGGGCGGATTGCTTGAGTTCAGGAGTTCAAGACCAGCCTAAGAAATATGGTGAAAACCCATCTCTACAAAAAATATGAAAAATTAGTTGGGCGTGGTGCCATGCACCTGTAGTCCCAGCTACTTGGGAGGCTGAGGTGGGAGGATGGCTTGAGCCTGGGAGCCGGAGGTTGCAATTAGTCAAGATCATGCCACTGTACCCCAGCCTGTGGGTTAGAGTGAGACTCTATTTCAAAAGAAAAAAGAAAAAAAAATCTTATCAAGACTTCTAATACCTCTATGATTCCAGATAAAATAAATTTAACTATAATGACTATAGAACTACAGGGGTAAAAAGTCCTTGGAAATAGATAGGTAAAGAAACAAAATAATCTCTAGAAAAGTGCTTTTGCCATCATTTTTGAAACCTGACTTTAAAATAGATAAAATACTTTTACCTTCAAGAGAGCTACGGAAAAACTCAAGAAGATTTCAGTAATACTGTCCTATTTGTATACATGTTGCAGGATTATGGAATCTGCAGCAACAGTGAATGTATTTAACTTGCCACATAAGGATTTCTTCAGTTTCATGCTCATGAAATGCTTTATTGCTAAGTGCTTTTGTTTTGTTTTTTTTTTTTTCTGACCTTAGTCTTCCCTTTGGGTACATAATAAATTCCAGAAGCCCGTAGAAGAAAATAGCGCCTTTTCCAGGATTTCTTTCCATCTTCTTTCAAATAAAGAGCTCCTTCCAGTTCTGGTACAATGATAGATGTTCCACAGAAACTTTCCTGAAATTGAGATTCCGACGACACAAGACACACACGAAAGATAAAGCACGCATTTTTATTCACATTTAAACAAACTCGCAAATTAGCTTTTAAACTAAAAGTCAATTGAGTGTACAGCTCTGACCGAATGCGTATGTTTATATTATATGCTATTTGCCAGAAGAGGGGAAGAATAACACATCGGTCCAGAATCCTGGCTCCTGGGTTACGCCTCAAGGGCTCCTCACCACTTAGCTCTGCGACCGTGGGCCATTAAACCTCAGTCCACTGATTTGTCAAAATGGAATAATAATAGCCCAACTTCATAAGGTAGGTTGTGAGTACAGTCTTGGCATATTGCAAAAGTAAGCATTTAATAAAAGCAATTAATGTTACTATAAAATGGAAGACAGAAAAATTATTACTTTCCTGGTAAGTAAGATAGTTACTATTTCATTGCTCGTAAATAGAACAATTATTATATATAATTCAACACATAAAATTGGGGAGGATAGTTAACAGGTACAAAAGAATAGAAAGAATGAATAAGACCTACTATTTGAAAGCAAAGCAGGGTGACTATAGTCAATAATAACTTAATTGTACATTTAAAAATAACTAAAAGAGTGTAACTGGATTGTTTGTAATACAAAGGATAAGTGCTTGAGGGGATGGATACCCAATTCTCTATGATGTGATTATGTCACTTTCCTTGCCCATATCAAAATATATTATGTGCCCTATAAATATATACATATTATGTACCCACAAAAATTAAAAATAAAAAGAATAAAAATGAATAAGTTAATATTTTATTCTTGGGATAGTTTTCTTTTCAAAGAAGGAAGAAGGCAGTTATTAATACACCAGTATCAGAAAAGAATAACAAAGCACATCTAGATGTAGATTTTTAAATCTCAAAACTTGCATAGAATTACAGAATTCTTAATAAATTTTGTCTTAAAAATCAATAGAATAAAATTATATATTATTCTATTTTACAACTCAAATAGTCAAATTTATGTTTCACTTTCTTTTTATAACTTTCAATATCCTCTCATTTAGTTTCATAAATGTGAAATAACTGGATTTTGCATCCTCCAAGTACATTTTTATGTCGTAGAGCTGGAAAACATTTCTGTTCACACTCCCCAATTTCTCCCCAAATTTGGCTAGTATTAGTCATCCTGTTAATAATCTCTTAAATTCAGGTTTTGACCCCCATTAGACAGCAGGATAATGATTTTTCACAGCACAGCACGCTTTGTGTTTTCTTTTACATGCAGCTGTAAAACATTGCTGAAGTCCTGGGACAAGGACTCTCTTGTTGTGCCTCCCTGGGAAATACCCGCTGTGCTCATGCTCCCAGGAACCAGAACCTGCAACACCTGAGCTCAGCATCTTGGGAGTGGCAGCTGGCTGTGGTTTCTTTGGTACCGGGCTGTGAAAGCAAGCAGGCAATAGACATGCGCAAGGTCTGGGCGGAACCTTAGTGAACGCGAGCGGGCGCTCTTCAGCATGAGCCAATTGGCTCCAGGTAACGGGGCCGAGGGCATCACCAGGTCTTCTGATTTTTCAAGGGAGGTCCAAAATTTACTAACTCAGGAAAAGGTCCATGGATTGTCTCAGGGAAATACAACCTGGGCAACTCTAGCATGGCCATTTGTGACTTGAGATCTGGCACTCATTTCAGCTGCGTTATGTGCTGCAAACAGAGCCTCGATTTTTTTTTTTTTCTTTTTTTGAGACTGGATCTTGCTTTGTTACCCAGGCTGGCCTTGAGCTCCTGGACTTAAGTGATCCTCCCACCTCAGCTTCCTGAGTAGCTGGGATTACAGCTGTGTACCCCCATGCGAGGCTCAGAGCCTTGATTTTTAGCACGTGAAAACTCACTAGAAGTTTCCAATCAATTGCCAAATGAACTTCTGGAACACGCCCTAATAGTGGTCATCACAGACATCTGTATGGTCATCAACACAGTGCTTTCGCCAGCTCCCTGAATCTCTGTGATGATTCAATACAATTCGGAAACTGAGGTTCTCAGGGGGGCGGGGACTGTCCCATTAGCAAATGAACAGTGTTGGGCAGGGCCACCTCCTGTAACGGGTCCCTGACTCCGAATCTCATGCTTCCTACCACATCTGAGATGTTGGGAGAGCATCTTACAGGTCCCTTTAAATAAGGTTTGGAAGTCTTATGTCTGACTTCCATGGAGCACTTAAGTAATGAAACACATGGAATGCCAGAAGATAAGTTTTATGAGGATTTGTCAAGTCTTTTTAAAAGTCAAGAATTATGAATCCCACTTCATTTGTCTAAAGCCACATGTTGTAACAAATGACTCAAAAAAGAAAAACAGTTGAATGATCTAAACAGCTATAATTTAGTAATAATTTGATTTTAACACCCCAACTTGAAATTTCAGTGTGTCTTTAGATTTTTCCATTGTTCTGGGAAGAAAATGACTTAAAAATAGATAGAGCAAACATCATTCTCTTTTCTTCCATTCTGCAAAATTAACCTTACCTCGAGTAAGGATTCCTTGTTCTTAGCATTCATTTTCTCATTGGTTTCCTTGCTTTCTTTTTTCCCTCTGTTATCCAAGTAGAAATTCTAAATAAAATGTTAAAAGATCAGATCAGTAAGTGTTCATTACCATGCTAGACGCTGCAAGGAACTCACAGTCTTGCAGGAAAGAAGATGTTAATTGTGTGAAATAAACAGGGAATCAGAGCATATGCTATCAATCAACCATCAGGGCCTTCCCAAATGCTGATACCGCATCGCAAGGCAGGAGTGAAATCTCCTCACCCTCCCATAGTGTACAATCAATGAAAAAACAGAAGATAGAAAACAGTAGTGAAAAATACATCATTTAATTGCTGAAGTCCATGCGTGCACCATGCATGTTAAATGCTGGAAGCTGGAAGTCCCCAAGGCACTGGCAAGAGCTGGAGGCTGGAGTGAAGGTCAAGCTCATGTCCTATGCTCAAGCGGGGAACTGCTCTGGCAGGCAGATGCCACATGGGAGCTCAAGGCCTTGTAGGGTAGCAGGATTCTGGCTTATCAAGAGAATCCAGAAATATAGATGTTAGTAAATGTTAGCGACCTCTTTTATTTTTTAAAAGAACTGCCTGGGTTCACAACACAAGGTTTACTATTTAGCAACTTCTAAGGACAGAAAGAAGCAGAAAGGGCATTTCTGGAAAGAAAACCAGCCTAAACAAAGACAGGGAGGACTATGAGCTAAAAGCACTCATAGGCTGGGTGTGGCTCCTGCCCATAATCCCACCACTTTGGGAGGCTGAGGCAGGAGGATTGCTTGAGCCCTGGAGTCTGAGACCAGCCTGGGCAACATAGTAGGACCCTGTCTCTACTAAAAATAATAATAAAAAAAATTAGCTGGGCATGGCGGCATGCATGCCTGTAGTCTCATCTACTCGGAAGGCTGAGGCTAGAGGACTGCCTGAGTCCAGGAGTTCAAGGCTGCAGTAAGCTATGATCACTCCACTGCACTCCAGCCTGGGCAACAGAGTGAGACCTTGTCTCAAAAAAATAAAATAAAAAAATAAAAGAACTCACAAGTGGATTCATGGTCTCTGAGCATGGTTTGTATTAATTTCTGGATCATACTTTGTTAATACTGAATATCAACATGATGGCTAAAAATAAAGTGTGTGAGTTTCCAAAAAATCACGAGCACTCAAGGACTAATTTTTACACAATAAGTGCAGCTGAGGTATCCATATGCACAGTGAAGATAATGAGTGACCACTGTTAAAGTGCTGAGGATTTTATGTAAAAACATGGAGTTTTACAAAATCATACATAACAAATGTATTAAAGGCAGAAAATGTATCACAGAAGCACTGTGACTAAATTAAGGACCCTCCCAAATCTAGGCACAAGTGTTTATTTACACCATAGGAGTGTTTCTCCAAGTATAACTCCCAGACCACCTTGAAACTTGATACAATGCATGTTCCTGGGTTACACTGGAATCTCTGGGATGAGGCCTGGAAATCTGCATTCCAATATGCTTTCCAGATGATTTTTATGCACACTGAAGTTTGAGTTTTTCTTTTTGTTTGCTTTTTTTTCAGAGACAAGGTCTTGCTCTGTTACCCAAGCTGGAGTGCAGTCACATGATCGTAGCTCACTGCAGCCTTGAATTCCTGGGCTCAAGTAATCTTCCCCACTCAGCCTCCTAAGTAGCTGGGACTACAGGCATGTGCCACCATGCCTGTAGTCCCAGCTACTTAGGAGGAAATACGTCAAGTACAATTTTTTTTTTTTTTTTGAGACACAGTCTTGCTCTGTTGCCCAGGCTGGAGTGCTGTGGTGCAATCTTGGCTCACTGCAACCTCTGCCTCTCGGGTTCAGGGGATTCTCTTTCCTCATCCTCCCGAGTAGCTGGGATTACAGGTGTGCACCACCATGCCCAGCTAACTTTTTCTATTTTTAGTAGAGATGGGTTTTGCTATGTTGGTCAGGCTGGTCTCAAATTGACCCCTCAGCCTCCCAAAGTGCCGGGATTACAGGCATAAACCACCATGCCTGGTAAAGTACAATTCTTTTGGTAATTCTTATTGAAAAGAGTTTATTTTAATATGTTTTTCCAAGACTTTTAAACTTTTACTTGTTATTTGAAAGGATGTTATATTATGAATTAGTGCAGTCATAATATAGAATTCAGAAAACTATTTAAATTTTAAATGTTTTGCTTGAAGACCATGACTAGCCATATTAGGTAACACCTGTCAGAAACCTGTGCTAAGGCTTTACAGGCATGATTTCATTTCATCCTCACAAGAACCCGATAACACAGGTACCACTGCCCTTGTTACTTTACAGACGAGGAAAACGGAAGATTAGGTGATTTTCCAAAGGCCGATTAGTGGCAGAACGTGGAGTTATTAAATAGTTTTTTTTTTTTTTTTTTTTTGAGATGGAGTCTTGCTCTGTCGCCAGGGTGGAGTGCAGTGGTGCGATCTCAGCTCACTGCAACCTCCAAATCCCGGGTTCAAGCAATTCTCCTACCTCAGCCTCCAGAGCAGCTGGGATTACAGGCACGCACCAGCACGCCTGGGTAATTTTTGTATTTTTAGTAGAGACGGAGTTTCACCATGTCGGCCAGAATGGTCTCGATCTCCTGACCTTGTGATCTGCCTGCCTCGGCCTCCCAAAGTGCTGGGATTACATGCGTGAACCACCACGCCTGGCCACGTTATTAAATACTTTTCCTCAGCATTAAAATACTCAAAGTACAGAGCCGGGCACAATGGCATGCACCTGTAGTCCCAGCTACTCCAGAGGCTGAGGCGGGAAGATTGCTGGAGCCCAGATGTTTGAGTCCTGCCTGGGCCACACAGTGGGGCCCTGCCTCAAAAAAAAAAAAAAAGAAAAAAGAAAAAAAGAAAAAAAGGAAAAAAAAGGCTTTAAGTACCGTAGGGGAGAATCTAGCACGACAATGTGAATGTATTTAATACCACAGAAGGGTACACTTAAAAATGTTAAGATGATAAGTCCTAAGTTACATATATTTTTCCACAATAACAAAAAATGTAACCCAGCTTGAGTTTGCCCATTCATACAAGAGTGATTTCAGGGTGCTGCTAGAAAGCAAACCTTGGCTTAGGAAGGCCAGATATTTGAATCATGTATGATGAATTGGAAGCATGAACAGAGAGCATAGTGAAGACTCCAAGCCCAGGGGCGGTGGCTCACGCCTGTAATCCCAGTATCTTGGGTGGCCAAGGTGGGTGGATTACCTGAGGTCAGGAGTTCGAGACCAGCCTGGCTAACATGGCGAAACCCTGTCTCTACTAAAAATACAATTATTTGGGTTTGTTGGTGGGCGCCTGTAATCCCAACTACTAGGGAGGCTGAGGAAGGAGAATCACTTGAGCCTGGGAGGTGGAGGTTGCAGTCAGCTGAGATTGTGCCACTGCACCCCAGCCTGGGTGTTAAAGCAAGACTTGGTCTCAGAAAAAAAAATAAAAGAAAATAAAAGAAAAAAAAGACTCCAGAGCAAGTGTTTGTCATCATCCTCATCTGGGAAAGACAGAACATTTGTCACTCTCTGCAGGGAAGAACCTGTCTAAACTGTGAAGGGCCACATTTCACCAGGGTGCCCTAAAGAGGCAGGATACGTAGCTGTACCTTTCTCTGAGAACTTTCTCTGACATACTTCTGACTTTTTCAGCTTCAGAATATCCTTCTAAGTGACCATGCTACACTGTTTTTGTTTTTTATTTTAACAAAATAGCAAAAAACACAAAGTAAATCTGTGCCAGAGGAGGGCAGTCCTTAGAATAAGAATAATTCTTAGAATAATAAGACTGATTGCTTTCGGATCGGAACTTCCACCTGTGGTGTGGGCGCCCACTCAATGTGGGCTGCTCTGGAGAAGTAGTGAGCAGAACTCAACATTTAGTCATTATATCCTGCAAATGGAAACTGGGTAAACCTGAGTCGAATAATAAAGGAACTTTAAAATGGGAAATGAGACTGTTGGTCACAGCTTGCTCTCTTTTCTCACAGCTTCTGGGAGTGCAACATTTGGGAACAGCTGGATAGGAAAGAAACAGCAAATACTTTTTAAACATCTTTTTGGAATAAAGAGTAAATAAAGCAAACAGTTACTAGGTCATGAAGAAATATTTGCCAGTGCCCTTTATACATGTAAAACATCCCTGTTCTTTTTTTGGGGAGGGACATGATCTCACTTTGTCACCCAGGCTGGAGTGCAGTGGCATGATCATGGCTCACCGCAACCTCCGCCTCCCAGGTTCAAGCAATTCTCCCACCTCAGCCCCACAAGTAGCTGGGGCTACAGGCACATGCCACCACGGTCAGCTAATTTTTAAATTTTTTGTAGAGATGGGGTCTTGCTATGTTGTCCAGGCTGGTTTCAAACTCCTGAGTTCAAGTGATTCACGTGCCTTGGCCTCCCAAAGTGCTGAGGTTACAGGTGTGAGCCACCATGCCCGGCCTCAAATCCCTGTTCTTAAGAAGGCTGCTATCACATGGAGAAGATAAATACAGATAGAGCATAGCGAGAGGGGTGGATGACTCTATACCTATTGATGGGGAAGATATAAGAGACTACAAAAATTCAAAATGAGCCACCGTCTAGAGATTTTCAGGGAGGAAAAAAATAACTATGGACTGAGATGGTCAAGAAAAGCTTTACCGAGGGGGTCAAAGTTTGAACGAGGCCTTGAAAGTTGTTCAATGTTCAGCTGGGGAAAAGAATGAGAATAGATTTCAGGGAGCAGAACAAGCACGCACAGAGGCACAGAGGGGTCTTTGGAGCACCAGTGAGCAGCCAGTCAGGCTAGAGCTGTAGGGCGAATGCAGCTCACTGAGTGAAGATCAGATCAGACCATCACTCCCAATTCTCTGCTCGCTGTCAGGTGACTGGGCAGTAACTTTCCCCGAGTGGGTGAAGCTTATTTCCTTGCTTCACTTATGTTGGGTTTGGCCATGTGACTTGCTTTGACCAATAGAATGTGGCAGACAGGACGATGCATGGATTCCGAGCAGAGGAATCCATGTGCTGTCCAGGGCCAATAAGAGACACATGGGGCCAGACACAGTGGCTCAGGACT